GGTGAGTGTAGTGTGTTGTGTGGTGAGTATAATTTGCTGTGTGGTGAGCATAGTAGTTACACACCGTAGGCCAGAACAGACATGCAGACTACAGTAGATTAAAAACACAGCGTGACGTGATGATATGTAAAAGCTCAATAGATTTGGTTAGGATAGGTTTAGTTTGGGTTTGGTTAGGTTAGGGTAGGTTTAGTTTGGGTTAGGTTAGGGTAGGTTTAGTTTGGGTTAGGTTAGGTTAGGGTAGGTTTAGTTCGGGTTAGGTTAGGGTAGGTTTAGTTCGGGTTAAGGTAGGTTTAGTTAGGGTAGGATAGGTTAGGTCTAATAAAGAAGCCAATACCTAATGACTGTTGCTGAAAGATTTGTAGCTCCTGAAGTAATTAGATTCAGTATAAGAACAGGGGCAGTACCTGGTTCCTGAAACACATCAATAACAGATCGACAGTATGGGCGTTGTCATGGTTACTCCCATTGTTTGTGATTGACACTCCTTGAGGTTATTGTTATCCATATATTATTAACCGTAGTGTGTTTTTCTGTACGTTGGTTTAAAGATAAAATTCAATTTATAATATTTTTTTGCGTTATGGTAAAAAAAAATAATCCTTACTAATTACTTATTCTGATCTAATGCAACACTGTGGTTTAACAAGGAAGGTCATTTAGTGGTAAGTTATAGAGAAACATGCACTGGTTATGAGTAATTAAATGTTAAAGGAGGTCAAATTATTTCGGTTCATCTTGATCAAGTTTAGAACACGAACTGAAGCCGTGATTAACTGTGTTGACTTCACGAGGATGTCTTGACGTGTATAACTGACTTCACGAGGATGTCTTGACGTGTATAACTGACTTCACGAGGATGTCTTGACGTGTATAACTGACTTCACGAGGATGTCTTGACGTGTATAACTGACTTCACGAGGATGTCTTGACGTGTATAACTGACTTCACGAGGATGTCTTGACGTGTATAACTGACTTCACGAGGATGTCTTGTCGTGTATAACTGACTTCACGAGGATGTCTTGACGTGTATAAATAACTTCACGAGGATGTCTTGACGTGTATAACTGACTTCACGAGGATGTCTTGACGTGTATAACTGACTTCACGAGGATGTCTTGACGTGTATAACTGACTTCACGAGGATGTCTTGACGTGTATAAATGACTTCACGAGGATGTCTTGACGTGTATAACTAACTTCACGAGGATGTCTTGACGTGTATAACTGACTTCACGAGGATGTCTTGACGTGTATAACTGACTTCACGAGGATGTCTTGACGTGTATAACTGACTTCACGAGGATGTCTTGACTTGTATAAACAAATAAATGACTTTATTAGTTTGACCTACAAGAGACGTCAGTTACCTTAAGCTCGAAAACAGCTGGTGTTGACTTTCTCATAACCTTGACACTATTTTAGACCATTGTGAGAGTAGAGTAACGTCCCTATAGCATATAACTCGCAGGTGATCGATGAATTCCACAATGATCACTGTGATTCCTGTTGTCTCGGTAGGGTTGTCAGAATCCTTCGTTCGTTGTGTCATATTGTCTTTCTCAAGGTATTTCTTTCAGCGAGTGTTTATAAAGTTGATGTCATATACAGTAAAGGTCACCTGAAAGTGGGAAAGGTGAGGCTGTTAAGTTTTCCTCCTCCTCCTCATTACTTTCGTTGAATAAGTTTAGGGTATTGTGGCGAAGTGGTTATCGTACTGGGCTTGCTATATTGCCCCCCTGGTTCGAGTCTCCACTAGAGTAAGCCGGTACTCGTAGAGTAAAGCCATATCCCCACTGGCTTGTTGTAATTATCCACCCGGTTAAGTATCCAGGCCATTAGGGGAGTATACCTGAACTGGCTTAACCTGTGTGACGACAAACTCACCTGGCCGACACCTTGGATAGCTTCATTAATGTCTTACGGTATATTAGGCGAGACTAAGTTGAATATAAAATAAACTAATAAGTAAAAACGTAATTTATATTAATAAATATGAAACTTAGGTCAACCTTCACAAGTTAATTCGTTATATACGATTTATTATATTCGATGCACCGGAAAGTAATCTGGTACCACAGTAATAAAAATATCCTTAAAACTTTGTGCGAGGCAATTTAACACAACACAAGAACATAAGGGGTCTGCAATAGACCGGTTGGCTTGTGCATGGCAGCTCCTGTCGAGAGTTACTACCACTCTCTATCATCCATGAATCTATCTAGCCTTCTTTTAAAACTCTCCAGCGTTCCATCACTTACTACAAAGTTGCTAAGCTTGTTCCACTCGTCCACCACCCTATTTGTGAACCAGTTCCTTCCTATCTCCCTCCTAAACCTAAACTTATCCAACTTAAATCCGTTGCTCCGAGTCCTATCCTGCTCGGATATTATAAGAACTTTATCTATATCCCCTTTATTGATTCCTTTCACCCACTTAAATACTTCTATCATATCTCCCCGTACTCTTTGTCTCTCTAGGGGATGCAAGTTTAGTTTCTTTAATCTATCTTGATATGGAAGGTTTCTAAGTCCCGGAGTCATTTTCGTCATTCTTCGCTGCACCGACTTCAGTGAATTGATATCCATTCTATAATAGGGGCACCAGAACTGAACCGCATAATCGAGGTGCAGCCTGACTAGCGCAAGATATAGTTGCAATATGACCTCTGCACTCTTATTACTTACACTGCTAGATATTAAACCTAATACTCTGTTTGCCTTATTTCGAACATTAACGCACTGTTTTCTAGGCCGAAGTTCCGGGCTTACAAGTACCCCTAAGTCTCTTTCACAAGTCGACTTCTCTAGGTTGATGTTGTTAAGACATTGACAGTATTTGTTCGTTCAATATTAAGTACGCAGCACTTGCTGGTGTTGAATTTAATTTGTCATTTCTGACTACTCCTGCAGTTTATTTAAATCCTCCTGTAGTGCATTTGCATCCTGCCCTGAATTAATCTGCCGCCCTATTTTGGTGTCCTCCTCAAACAACCCTGCCGAGACAACAGGAGTCACAGTGTTCATTGTGACATCCATCATCGGCGCACTCCGTGAAGACACTTTTATTACTGTGTACTTGGTAGCTTGTATGGAATTCCTTGCCCTATCTGTAGTTACATCAAACGTGTTGTAGATGACGCAATGAATGAGTTCATTCATGTTTTATTACTCAGCGCTAAGCTGTGGATACTAGTGTAAGCTGGCTTTACTCCGGGGAAACTCTGTGGTGATGGAGTGGAACCGGCAGTTTGAGCTGGTTCGCTCTGGAACCATTGAAGTGACCCACTCTTGATTGATCGTCACTTTTTCCTCATTAAGAAACAGCGCTACGGTTTTAAATACCTGTATTATTCTTTTATTCCATAGTGAGAAGTGATACCACCCTCAGTGTCAAGACCTGACTGAATTACTCAGAATAGGCAAACTGTACTACAAGCTTTGTCAATAAATTTGTTAAACTAAAAAAAAAATGGATCACCTGAAGAATCATCGCCCCAGCATATTTCACCTGAATTTTAACTACCTTAATGCTAACTTAACTTAACATAAACCTATTCTATCCTATCCTAAATCTAACCTAACATAGTCTATGTTACAGACAAGAAAAAACGTGAAAATGAATGGGTGACTAAAACAATTTTCGATATCGCACAAAACTATATGAAGCGTTTGTCAGAAGGTAATGGAACACAAATAATGGAGAATATTATATACTTGCAGTAGGTGGTACACTGTATAGCACTTTATACAGGTAACAAAAATACTGTTTTAGGGTACTGCAAGCATCTCCCGCGTCCATGCAGCTAAATAACTACTTAAGCCGGCTTTGTATAGAATATTTTGAATTGTCCGTTATTCTTATAGTCAGGAGGTTAATAAATTATTTGTACGTCAGCCAGCGACTGTAGTAGAGGAAGAAACCGGAACCTGGGAAGCCTGATGTTTCGTAGTGAGGCTCACACTGGATAACACCCTTCTCACGTGTGTCCTTACTCGAACCCTGGACGTATTATTGAGAGATAAGCTTATTACCGCTGCACCACCAATATGCATTATTATGTAAATTCAGGCGTATATCTTCTTCATATTATTGATGCATATAATGTTTATTAATTCTAAAGTACATATTATTTATATTACAAGATGTTATACAGTTAGCCAATGATAACCACATTTGTGTTTTAAGTTATCTTGAATTCGGTTAATGCATTGTCCTTTTGATGTGTGTATGGGGGTGGGTGGGTGGTAGAAGGCCGATTGTGAGTGTGTGTAAGGAGAATTAAAAATAATCAGTGCCGAAGAGGATAAAGTAATGGAAAATCTTGCTTGATTCTGTTGATAACCTGACCGCTAGAGTTCCGTCGTAGTACTGATGGAAGAGTATCCGTGGGAGAAGCTGGGGCAGGGAGATGTGATGACAGATGTACGAAATTTTTATCGTTTAGAATGTGCCTGATACCATTATCACCTTGAATGATGGGAACAACGAGTGTATTTGTTATAAATATTTAACCCCGGAGAACAAATTAAATATCTTGAAACAGCTAAATGAAATGGAGAAACATTAAAGGTGACATTGGCATAATTTGTTAGGATGTTCATTAGCGAAGTTAATGAATGAAAATTGTCATCTAAAGAATACTGGACTAATTTCTGTATTTGTCCAATACTTTCAATACTTTATTCAATTAATGTAATGTTTATATAATGAGACAATGCAGAGAAGTGATCTACGTCACTTCAGTACATAACGTGACGCAATACTCGCAATATTTTGTTGGGTGGCGCGTGAACTCTACTGTAGTTCTACTTAAATTTTGTGAATGCTTCTTAAATACATTACTTTAGTACACAATTAAAATCAGTTAAATTTACGCATTATAATTTAACTTATGAGTGTAGTAGGTTGGTTACCTAACATGGCGCAATTGTTGGGGGAGGGGAGAGGGGGTGGGGTGGGGTGGTTAGACGTCACAGAAAACGTTTCCCAAGTAAGCTCAGCCCAGTCACATTGGAGTAGTGTTTTCACTGCGACGAGTCAGTGTGGTTGTGTTGCTGTAGGCGTCCTGGTGACTTGATCAGTTTGCATTTGTTTGCCAGTGATTTGTTTATCAACTTAACCAGTGAGAGGAAAGAAAATTTATTAACAGTTTACTTTAAAAAATAGAAAACAAAAAAATGGTGGCGCAAAGCTTATATGTAGTGAGTATATTGACTATTTTATATATATATATATATATATATATATATATATATATATATATATATATATATATATATATATATATATATATATATATATATATATATGTGTGTGTGTGTGTGTGTGTGTTAATATTTTTGTTACGCTGATAATTTTGTTTGTGTACAGTATATTATTTATGGTAAGGCCAGAGTCAATAACGTACTACAGTTGTTGGAAACAATCGCTTATGTTACCCATCGTTAAGACGTGTATTTTACCACAATAATTTTCATGTTATATATCAGTTCAGTGTACACCTCAATAATTTAAATGGACTCTTGTTACGTAACCGTAGGCTAGTCACAGTCTTGCCACACCAGGCGTTGCTTGCAAGGTGTGGCGACATCTGCTACGGAATCTAGTGGAATTTGTTAATTTCCTGTTATAGTAGACCCGAGATAAACGACCACGTGCTTTTGCTACATCTGAACAAATTCATTTTAATATGGCCTGTCAAGACGATAGCCTTCATCCCCCACCACCTATCCTCTCACCTTTCACTCTCTTTACCTGTTAATGAGACTACAAACATTAATATATAACGTATCCTAAAGGTAAGAAGAAAAATGTATTAACAGTCAATATATTACTTTATTGTCGCTACCGATCGGTTGGTTAGCCGCTAGGGCGGTAGGTCACGTCCCTGTTACACACTGTTGCCAAGTACTGGCTCGAAGATGTACCTGCGCCAGTGTTGTTTAAGTCTGGTCTTAAAGGAACCCACACTGTTGCCGTCTTAGTTGGCAGATGGTGTCTTTTTTAGCCTTAAGCCACGTCCCTCCCACGCCCACCCAGGTATGAACACTGGACTGGGTGATGGTCACTGAGATGATTATAGACTTGTATTATGTCTCCTCTTGCCCGCCTGTAGTATGTATAAGCTAGGCAGCTGCAGGCGTTCTGCTCCCAATACTGTTAAAATGTTCATTGTATTAACACCTGGGAATAATTTTATATCTATGTGTAGTATTAGGTGAGCCTAAAGCTACCTAATAAAAATAGTTGTAGTTTTATTGAAATCTGTTTTTGTTATAACAATATATTTACATTTGTTAGGGCTGTTCCTGTTCACATATTAAATACTGGATACAAATTCCGATGAGTTGATCAGTTTAACTATTGTTTACAGCATTTAATAAGTAATTAGTAATAGTCTTAAGTTCTTAACAAGTGTAAATTTTATAGCAGAAAAAAAATAAGAAATCACTACATAAAACTACCATAAATTTTCTAGGTGTGAATGTTAGGGAGTGGGGTGTGAACTGCTAAAGGGATTGTACACTTGTTGAGGCAATATTTGAAGTCTCCATGATGTAGCATATTAATGAGGTGAGATGAGGTAGTGCAGCTTCACCATTTTGTGTGTGTGAGGGCCATATCGAGTGACTGGGGTTATAGCAGTTCAATATATTTGTCTTAGGACTACTGGCCGGTACCACGGGGGTCCGCCTCCCCTCCAGAAAATTCCAATGCGTTTTCTTTAATGCAGTATGGTAGTCGGGCATTTGTGTATAGTATAAATTAATTAAGAACATAAGAATGGAGGAAACTGCAGCGAGCCTATTGGGCCATACTGGGCAGTCCCATTTACATCCAACTCAGTTTGTGAAAAAGATCTAGGTGTATTTGTTAGCAACGACTTGAAACCTAGAAAACAATGTATTAGCGTTCGCAACAAGGCAAACAGGATTCTTGGGTTCATATCTAGGTCTGTGAGTAACAGAACTGCTGACGTTATCTTGAAACTTTACCTAGCATTAGTGAGGCCACACATGGATTATGCGGTTCAGTTCTGGTGTCCTTATTATAGAATGGACATAGATTCTTTGGAGAGAGTACAAAGAAGAATGACAAAAATGATCCATAATATTAGAAACCTTCCATATGAAGAAAGACTGAAAAGCTTAGGCTTACATTCATTAGAGAGGCGTAGAGTTAGGGGAGATATGATAGAGGTGTACAAGTGGGTAAGTGGGATTAACAAGGGTAAAATGGAAGATGTTCTGAAGCTCAGTAATAACGAAATAACTAGAACAAATGGCTTTAAATTAGATAAATTCCAGAAAGGATATAGGCAAGCACTGGTTTGGTAATAGAGTTGTGGATATGTGGAATAGGCTACCGAGTGCTATAGTAGGATCGGGGACGCTAGGGAGCTTCAAGACGAAGTTGGATAGGCACATGGAAGTGCTGGGATGGGTGTGAAAGGGATCTGCCCTGTATGGGCCAGTCGGCCTCCTGCAGTATCCCACTTTCTTATGTTCTTATGTTCTTATAAGTATCCAACCTGTTTGAAGCTATTCAGCGTATTCGAGTTAATGATGATATTTGGTAACTTGTTACCATTCATCCACTACTCTGTTTCCAAACCAGTGTTTACCTATATCGCGCCTAAATCTAAATTTGTTTAATTTAAAACCATTGTTACGAGTTCGCTCCTGGTTGGATACTCTTGTAATGTCCCCTTTGTTTAGCCCTGACTTCCATTTATACACCTCTATCATGTCGCCCCTCAGAATATCTCGCAATACCAAGTGCACATGACTTCAAAATGCCCTTGATATTGGTAAGATTTATTTCTTTGTGGGGGGGGGGGCTTACAGCTCCCCCCCCCCCCAATTAGGTGGGCAGGCTGTGCACGCCATGTCCCCTTATGATGTTCCTGGATCCGCCTCTGGATACACCGTTTACAAATTTACATTGAAACAGCCTCTCCATAGACTCAGAGATTCAGAGATCTGTTTTAGTTTCAGAATATTGGAACATAGATTTCAGTCCACAACAGAATAATTGCACCGAAAATTTGCAGTGTTTAGTTGAAATGCAAATTACCTAAACATTTTAATCATTATTTAGCTTACCGCAAGGGAAGTATAAGCTTGTAGATTTGAACGGAGATAAAGTCATTATTTTAACCTGGTTTCAATATTTTGGCAGTTGTCGATAATCTTCAAAGGTAACATTTAAATTGTTGCCGTGTACGAGGGCAGTTAGGAGTTACCACAGAAAAAAAACACTCTTGAATCGTGTTTATATGACTGTGTTGGTGATTATACTTCGTCACTGGTAAGGTAAGGTTGTACCTAAGTGGTAGATATTAAACCATGGCACAGATGTAGCGTTTAGCAATAGCGTCAACATTACGTTATCTACGGTTAACTTAATATTATTGGAGTTATTATTTTTATTGTATTTTATTGGTTTTTTTATTATTGCTTTTGATTAACGGGAAAGATCGACGTCGGTTAAAGGGTAACTTACACTGAAATAGATTTTTTTAGACCGCCATCGCCCAATTTAGGTTTAAAATGAGAAAACGAGCGAATTTCCGAGACCACTTAAAGTTATTGTACAGTTTAGCGTTACAATTATTGTACAGTTTAGCGTTAAGATTATTATACAGTTTAGCGTTAAAATTATTGTAGTTTAGCGCTAAAATTATTGTGCAGTTTAGCTATAAAATTATTGTATAATTTAGCGATAAAATTATTGTGTAGTTTAGTGTTAAAATTATTGTACAGTTTAGCATCAACTTGTGTTTACCGCGAAGGACTTAAACTATACAACTACTGAAATGGGCGCTGATATCACCCAAGACCTTCCCGCCCTCTCCACTCCACCGTTCAGAGCAGCACTTATACCCCGGAACCCGGATTCATAATGATTCACGCGTTGAAATGTTTTCCCCGAGTTTATCTTCAGAACACAGTAAGTTATGGTCACGTCACGGATTGATTTTGACGCCATATTGTCCTATCCTAGCGCATAGAAGGTAATTCAGAAGTACGAACTATTGAATCTGGGATATATTTCGTTATGCTGACTTTGCCGAGTGACACAAATATTTTAGTCGTGTTGAGACCCGATAAAATTATTCCTACTGTAGACTTCTGCTATAGGAAACATTCTATAGGCATTCCCTTTCTCATATTGCCTTGTGATATTTGGTGATATATTTGGTGTTCTAGCGGTAGTTAAAATTTATTTATCTTATTTCTTTTAAATTTTCATAAATAAATTAGAATCTTATGCAAAAAAAAAAGGTTCCAAGGTATTAATTAATCGGTGATTCGTCAGTATAAATGATGTAATTTAATTTTTCTTTACTATGGAATATTCTATAGTATTTATGCCGAGTTATAAATACCGGTTTATTTATTTTTATTAAATATTAATAGATTATATTCTGTGCGACGATTACAGGGTACATTATTTCTTCCCATGAAGTAATATTATAATTCAAGTTTAATAAGTTAACTATTTGTTTTCAGGCAATACTTTTTCTTATCACTTTTTATCTATCTAGAAATAAGTAAAACTTATCTCTCTAGAAATGAGTATTAATTTCGTCTGCCAGAAAATAGTATATATAATGTACAGTATTTACGGATGTTGGATCTTCCGAGTGTTCGAACAATTATGATTTTTTTAGGCGAAATTTTTTTTTGTAATAGGACAGATTTACACCATAGACTACACACACACACATACACACACACACACACACACACACACACACACATATATATATATATATATATATATATATATATATATATATATATATATATATATATATATATATATATATATATATACACCTTGCCAAAAGACGTGTCAGTTTGTTTAATGTGACGTAATTCCGGATTTCCTAACTAAAAATGAAAAACAAAAAACAAACGGTACATGCCACAGCGAAGTTACCAAATCTTCATGTGTGCCTTTCCGTGTCGGTTGCACTGCCGTGATGAAATTTGTAAACAGCTGACTTCTCTACACCCACCCACCCTCCCTCTGTACTAGAACATAGAACATAAGGAGTCTGCAATAGGCCGGTTGGCCTGTGCATGGCAGCTCCTGGAGTTACTACCACTCTCTATCATCCATGAATCTATCTAGCCTCCTTTTAAAACTCTCCAGCGTTCCAGCACTTACTACAAAGTTGCTAAGCTTGTTC